GATGAGTAGTGGGGGGTTGAAGAGGGGTTTGGGAAAAGTTTTTAAAAATGCAGTATTAAAAATGTGGGGCAGAAGTTTGTGGTTATAGGAGGGTGGGGCAGGAGGAAAGAGGAGTGATTGTGTGAATGATGAAGTAAAGGGTGTGATAAAAGACAAAAAGGTAGCTTATGAGAGGTTTTTACAAAGCAGAAGTGTTATAAGAAGAGCAGAGTATATGGAGAGTAAAAGAAAGGTAAAGAGAGTGGTGAGAGAGTGCAAAAGGAGAGCAGATGATAGAGGGAGAGGCACTGTCAAGAAATTTTAATGAAAAAAGAAAAAAAATTTTGGACGAGTTAAACAAGTTAAGAAAGCCTAGGGAAAAAATGGATTTGTCAGTTAAAAACAGAGTAGGGGTTAGTAGATGGGGGGATGGAGGTATTGGGTAGATGGGGAGAATATTTTGAGGAACTTTTAAATGTTAAGGAAAAACAGAGGCATAATTTCATGCACTGGTCAGGAGGTATACCATCTTTTAGGAGTGAAGAAAAGCAGAATGTAAGTGTGGGGGAGGTACGTGAGGCATTACTAAAATTTAAAGGGGGTAAAGCGCTGGAAACTGAAAGGATCATGACAGAAATGTTAAAAGCAGGGGGGATATAGTGTTGGAGTGGTTGGGACTTTCGTTTAATAAATGTATGAAAGAGGGGAAGGGAACCTAGGGATTGGCAGAGAGCATGTATAGTCCCTTTAAAATAAAGGGAAAGGGGACAAAAGGACTGTAAAAATTACAGAGGAATAAGCTTACTGAGTATACCCGGAAAAGTGTACGGTAGGGTTATAATTGAAAAAATTAGAGGGAAGACAGAATGTAGGATTGCGGATGAGCAAGGAGGTTTTAGAGTGGGTAGGGGGTGTGTAGATCAGGTGTTTACATTGAAGCATATATGTGAAAAAGTATTTAGATAAAGATAGGGAGGTTTTTATTGCATTTATGGATTTAGAAAAGGCATATGAAGAGGGATAGAGGAGCAATGGGGGCAGATGTTTCAAGTATATGGGAAAAGGTGGTAAGTTATTAAATTTCTGTAAAGAGTTTTTTTTGAGGATAGTGAGGCTCAGGTTAGGGTGTGTAGAAGAGAGGGGGACTACTTCCCGGTAAAAGTAGGTCTTAGACAGGGATGTGTAATGTCACCAAAGGTTGTTTAATATATTTATAGATGGGTTGTAAAGGAAGTAAATGCTAGGGTTTTTGGGAGAGGGGTGGGATAAATTATGGGGAATCAAATTCAAAATGGGAATTGACACAGTTACTTTTGCTGATGATACTGTGCTTATGGAGATTTTAAAGAAAAATTGCAAAGGTTAGTGGATGAGTTTGGGAATGTGTGTAAAGGTAGAAAGTTGAAAAATGAACATAGAAAAGAGTAAGGTGATGAGGGTGCAAATGATTTAGATAAAGAAAATTGGATATCAAATTGGGAGGAGGAGTATGAAGAAGTGAATTTTTCAGATACTTGGGAGTTGACGTGTCGGCGGATGGATTTATGAAGGATGAGGGTTTAAACATAGAATTGATGAGGGAAAAAAGGTGAGTGGTGCGTTGAGGTATATGTGGATCAAAAAACGTTTTCTATGGAGGCAAAGAAGGGAATGTATGAAAGTATAGTAGTACCAACACTCTTATATGGGTGTGAAGCTTGGGGGGTAAATGCAGCAGCAAGGAGAACGGTTTTGGGGGCGCGGAGATGTCCTGTCTAAGGGCAATGTGTGGTGTAAATATTATGCAAAAAATTCGGGTTGGAAATTAGGAGAAGGTGTGGAGTTAATAAAAGTAATTAGTCAGAGGGCAGAAGAGGGTTGTTGAGGTGGTTTGGTCATTTTTGAAGAATGGATCACAGTAGAATTTACATGGAAAGCATATAAATCTATAAGGGGGAAGGGGCGGGGTTAGGGGTCGTCCTCGAAAAGGGGTTTGGGGAGAGGGGTAAAGGAGGTTTTGTGGGTAAGGGGCTTGGATTTCCAGCAAGCGTGCGTGAGCGTGTTAGATAGAGTGAATGGAGACGAAAGGTACTTGGGACCTGACGATCTGTTGGAGTGTGAGCAGGGTAATATTTAGTGAAGGGATTCAGGGAAACCCGGGTTTTTTTCATAAGTCGGACTTGAGTCCTGGAAATGGGAAGTACAATGCCTGCACTTTAAAGGAGGGGTTTGGGATATTGGCAGTTTGGAGGGATATGTTGTGTATCTTTATATGTGTATGCTTCTAGACGTTGTATTCTGAGCACCTCTGCAAAAACAGTGATAATGTGCGAGTGTGGTGAAAGTGTTTAATGATGAGAAGTATTTTCTTTTTGGGATTTTTTTTCCCTTTTTTGGGTCACCCTGCCTCGGTGGGAGACGGCCGACTTTTTTGAAAAAAAAAAAAAAAAAAAAAAAAAATATATATATAATATTATATATATATATATAATTTTTTTTTTTTTTTTTTAAACAAGTGGGCCGTCTCCCACCGAGGCAGGGTGACCCAAAAAAAGAAAGAAAATCCCCAAAAAGAAAATACTTTCATCATCATTCAACACTCACCACCTCGCACATTATCACTGTTTTTGAGAGGTGCTCAAAAATACAACAGTCTAGAAGCATACACATATAAAGATACACAACAATATCCCTCCAAACTGCCAATATCCCAAACCCCTCCTTTAAAGTGCAGGCATTGTACTTCCCATTTCCAGGACTCAAGTCCGACTATATGAAAATAACCGATTTCCCCTGAATCCTTCACTAAATATTACCCTGTTTCACACTCCAACAGATCGTCAGGTCCCAAATAAACCCTTCGTCTCCTTCACTCCTATCTAACACGCTCACGCACGCTTGCTGGAAGTCCAAGCCCCTCACCCACAAAACCTCCTTCACCCCCTCTTTCCAACCCTTTCGAGGACGACCCCTACCCCGCCTTCCTTTCCCCCATAGATTTATATGCTTTCCATGTCATTCTACTTTGATCCATTCTCTCTAAATGACCAACCACCTCAACAACCCTCTTCTGCCCTCTGACTAATACTTTTATTAACTCCACACCTTCTCCTAATTTCCCCCACTCCGAATTTTCTGCATAATATTTACACCACACATTGCCCTTAAACAGGACATCTCCACTGCCTCCAACCGTTACCCCGCTGCTGCATTTACCACCCAAGCTTCACACCCATATAAGAGTGTTGGTACTACTATACTTTCATACATTCCTTCTTTGCCTCCATAGATAACGTTTTTTGACTCCACATATACCCAACGCACCACTCACCTTTTTTCCCTCATCAATTCTATGATTAACCTCATCCTTCATAAAACCATCCCCCGACACGTCAACTCCCCAAATATCTGAAAACATTCACTTCTTCCATACTCCTCCTCCCCAATTTGATATCCAATTTTTCAATTTTTCTTTATCTAAATCATTTTGACACCCTCATCACCTTACTCTTTTCTATGTTCACTTTCAACTTTTCTACCTTTACACACATTCCCAAACTCATCCACTAACCTTTGCAATTTTTCTTTAGAATCTCCCATAAGCACGTATCATCACAAAAAGTAACGGGTGTAAATTTTCCCATTTTGAATTTGATTCCCCATAATTTAATCCCACCCCTCTCCCAAACACCCTAGCATTTACTTCCTTTACAACCCACTATAAATATATTAAAACAACCATGGTGACATTACACATCCCTGTCTAAGCCCTACTTTTACCGGAAGTAGTCTCCCTCTTCTACACACCCTAACCTGAGCCTCACTATCCTCATAAAAACTCTTTACAGCATTTAAAAACTTACCACCTATTCCATTTTACTTGCAACATCTGCCACATGCCCCCTATCCACTCTATCATATGCCCTTTTTTAAATCCATTAAAAGCAATAAAAACTTCCCTATCTTTATCTAAATACTGTTCACATATATGCTTCAATGTAAACACCTGATCTACACATCCCCTACCCACTCTGAAACCTCCTTGCTCATCCGCAATCCTACATTCTGTCTTACCTCTAATTCTTTCAATTATAACCCTACCGTACACTTTTCCTGGTATACTCACTAAGCTTATTCCTCTATAATTTTTACAGTCTCTTTTGTCCCCTTTCCCTTTATATAAAGGGACTATGCATGCTCTCTGCCAATCCCTAGGTACCTTCCCCTCTTTCATACATTTATTAAACAAAAGTACCAACCACTCCAACACTATATCCCCCCCTGCTTTTAACATTTCTGTCATGATCCCATCAGTTTCCAGCTGCTTTACCCCCTTTCATTCTACGTAATGCCTCACGTACCTCCCCCACACTTACATTCTGCTCTTCTTCACTCCTAAAAGATGGTATACCTCCCTGACCAGTGCATGAAATTACTGCCTCTGTTTCTTCCTTAACATTTAAAAGTTCCTCAAATATATCTCGCCATCTACCCAATACCTCCATCTCCCCATCTACTAACTCCCCTACTCTGTTTTTAACTGACAAATCCATATTTTCCCTAGGCTTTCTTAACTTGTTTAACTCACTCCAAAATTTTTTCTTATTTTCATTAAAATTTCTTGACAGTGCCTCTCCCACTCTATCATCTGCTCTCCTTTTGCACTCTCTCACCACTCTCTTTACCTTTCATACATTTATTAAACAAAAATACCAACCACTCCAACACTATGTACCCCCCTACAATAGGCCCTCATCTTACACAGACACCACATGCACCTTTTTTTGTAATTGCCAATAAAAAAAAAAGAGCAGGATATTTTGTAAATTCCTATTTATTGGCTCACTGGATATGATATCCAGACTTTTGAAGTGTCCTTACAGGCCTTGTTCCCAAAACTGTTCAGATAATAGGTAGATGACTACTGTGTACAATAGTAATTACATGTATTAGATATTAGCTTTAATTTGATTGATGATGCTATCTCATTTCATATGTAAAGCATTTTATAAATTAATCATTTTTTCTGTGTATATTTGTAGGTAGCAGTGCAAAAATTAAATGTAGTGGATGTCAAAGCTACCAAGAATCAACAAAACAGCTTACTATGAAGAAACTTCCTATAGTATGTAGTTTTCATCTAAAGGTGAGTGTTTTATTGTATGTCTGGTGGATGATGAAGAGATTGATAGTGAATGTGTATCCTTTTTTGGGTCACCCTACCTTGGTGAGAGACGGTATGTTACAGTAGATGAAGTCATTTTATTTACTTCTTAGAGGCAGTGGGTCGCTATATCTTACATTGAGATGAATCCCACCTTCTCCTTTATACAAAGGAACTATGCACGCTCTCTGCCAATCCCTTGGTACCTTCCCCCCTTTCATACATTTGTTGACCAAAAGTACCAACCACTCCAAAAAATTTTCCCATGGTTTTAGCATTTCTGTCTATATCCTATTAATCCCGTCTGTTTTACCCCCTTTTATTTTACCTACTGCCTCACCCACCTCACCCCCACACATCTGGCTCTTCCTCACTCCTAAAAAAGATGTTATACCCTGCCATCCCTTCCTAATGCCTATGATCAGTCTTCCTCTCTCCATCAACATTTAACAGCTCAAAAAAAATTTCTTCCATTTTCCTAATTGTCTTCATCAGATTAATAAATATGTAGATAGATTCAGAAATTTTTTGGTTTCCCCTTTTTTCAATATGTAAGCCTCATTGGAGTACCTGTAATTAGTAATGAGTAATGACATTGACATCTCAGAGAAATTAAGTTATTTAATATTTTTCCTACCTGGGTTATTTAACACTTATTTAACAATAAGCATTTCCTTGTATATTAAACATTAACATAATTTCATATAGTCGGACTTGAGTCCTGGAAATGGGAAGTACAATGCCTGCACTTTAAAGGAGGGGTTTGGGATATTGGCAGTTTGGAGGGATATGTTGTGTATCTCTATACATATATGCTTCTAAACTGTTGTATTCTGAGCACCTCTGCAAAAGCAGTGATAATGTGTGAGTGTGGTGAAAGTGTTGAATGATGAAAGTATTTTCTTTTTGGGGATTTTCTTTCTTCTTTTTTTTGGGTCACCCTGCCTCGGTGGGAGACGGCCGACTTGTTGAAAAAAAAAAAAAAAAAAAATAATTTTAAAAATAAAATATTGAAAAGGCCAAACATTTTGGTATCCCATCCCTAACTCAAGCCTTGTATACCCCTTTCCCCTTACTCCAACCATTCCTAGAATTACTCCTTCCTCTTCTGCCTTCAACCCCAGATTTATGTAACCTCTTTACCATTCTATCCCTCTCCATCCTCTTTAAATGCCCAAACCACCTCAACAGCTCCTCAGTCCTTTGAATTATATAATTGGTAACCCCATTCTGTCTTCTAATTTTTATGCTCCGAATTCTCTGCATAATATGTATTCACTCCATTCATTGCTCTCAGAAATGACATCTCCACTTTGCTGCAGTGTAAAAGTTTTGGTACCACTATACTTTGGTATATTTTAAATTTTTAACTCCATGGCTAAACTTTTCCTTAGATTTAGCCACAACACACCATACTACTTTCTTTTTGCCATTGTATGGTTCACCTCATCTTTTATAGACCGATCTTCTGGTTTTTTTTTTTTTTTTTAACAAGTCGGCCGTCTCCCACCGAGGCAGGGTGATGTCTACTTCAAAATATCTAAGTACATCCACTTCCTCTACACTCCTTCCCTCCAATCTGATATTTAGTTTTTTTATTGCAAAGACTTTCTTCTTATATTTACCATTTTGTTATGTTCACTTTTAATTTCCATCTTTTTATGCAACCTTCCAAATTTGTCCACCAACATTTACAACTTATCTCCAAACTGTCCCAAAATAATGTTATTTGTCAATTTTGGTGATGTGGAGTGCTAGTAAATGGGGTATTTATGTACATTCAGTATTCACATAAGTACACTTTATGCAACTTGTTTGGCTTTTCTTTGAAAGTATGTCTAATTAGTGAAAACTTCCATTTTTTCAGAGATTTGAACATAGCAACAGATTACACAAGAAAATATCCACCTTCATCTCCTTTCCTGAACATTTGGACATGACTCCATTTATGTCTAACAGAAGAAACAATAATAACAACCATAATGGTGTCACAACTCATCCAACTGATATTAATAATAGGTAAGCACATACTTCCAGCAAGCGTGCGTGAGCGTGTTAGATAGGAGTGAATGGAGACGAATGGTACTTGGGACCTGACGATCTGTTGGAGTGTGAGCAGGGTAATATTTAGTGAAGGATTCAGGGAACCGTTTATTTTTCATATAGCCGGACTTGATCGCTGAAAATGGAGGTACAGTGCCTGCCCTAATGAGTGGGTTTGGGATATTGGGCAGTATGGAGGGATTGATTATTTTTGTATCTATATAACGTATATGCTTCTAAATGCTTGTTGTATTCTGATCACCTCTGCAAAACAGTGATAATGTGTGAGTGGGTGAAAGTATGCTGAATGATGATATTAAAGTAATTTTCTTTTGGGGATTTTTTTTCTTTTTTGGGTCACCCCTGCTCGGTGGGAACGTCCCGCCTTGTTTAAAAAAAAAAAAAAAAGCACTACTCTAGTACTATATGTATATATCAGTATTAATGTAATGATTACAACTTTAGAGTAATAATAACAGTATATAATGTAAGAGCACGAGAGGTGAGGAGGTCGTCCAAAGGGTACGACTGATGCCGAGATTCATAAGGTTTCATTGAGTATTTTTTCAAGATTATTAGAATTACAGTTTATAAGTTAAAAGACACAATGAAAGCAGAACAAAAGTATGTTAGTAGCACCGTTTTTGCTCTTTTGTAGTTTTTAAATCAAAAGTAAAGTACATCACATTAAATAATTCTTGCAGCTGGCCTCCGATAGTAAGTACAAAGGCGATATCCCATTTTGTTGAAGGTTCAAATGATGCTTTGTTTTTTTTTTTTTTTTTTTTTAACATGCATAATGTATCTGGGTCAACTAATTGTGAAATGAACTAATTTTTGTTGTACAACACTTGTCCAGCGAATATTGTTATGAACACTGTCGAAAAGCCAATCTAGCCTCTATCCCTATTGCTAGTCCCTTGCTTGTTCCCCAGTTAGTCCCATTAACCTGTTCATGGAGAGTGTTGTGCCGTATGCATGGGCTTAGGACTTTGGTTGTTGTCATAGAACTACATGATGAGCTTGGCTCATTTCAGAATTTAAGCAGTAAAAAAAAATTTCATAGACATGAGAGAATGGGTCATTGGTTAAGTATGCAGACCACCTAAAAAAAACCCTGCCCGCACCTTTACAATAATATGGTTTAACCCTTCTACACTGCCAAACGTATATCAATGTATTTTTTTCCAACATTTGAAAGTATGTAAAAAAAGTAATCTATTTTTTGTTTTACATTTGAAAACATAAAAAAAGAACTTTGATCTGCTTTTTTTTATTTGAAAATAGCATGTAAAAAAAAAATGTAGATCTACTTTTGGAGCACTACGCATGTGAACGTAGATCTGCTTGGAAAGTTTAAGGGTTAAATTGGCAATTTTGCAATTTATTTTTGTATGGTTTTTTATGGTTGTATTATTGGTTTCTTGGTTTCATTGATAGAATGGAAGATACATTACAGAAATAGATGATTTTGATTGGTTTCAGGACTGAAAGTAGATTGAAATTGAGTTCAAAGTAACTGAAATGTTAAATTTTTGCCAATATTACAGAGAACAAAAATTGTCACTCATCCAATATGTGTCCAACTAGTCGGTCTAATATGCGTTCAGGAGTGTGCTGACATTATTACAATAATTATTACAATAATTCATTAGTCTGCATAACGGTAAATCTTCTATTTTTTGTGTGAATAAAAATTCAAAATGGAAAGAAGGCAAGGTATAGGAGAGGTCTGGGGAAGTAACTAATGAACAGAGGAAATGTTTTTTAGTGCCAGTTATGTCTACATTGTTTATTCTGGACCTTATTTATAAATTGGCAAGTTTTTAATTTTGCGTGAAATTGGCCAAATTACCGATTTCTGATCACTTTATTGGGTAGTTGAAATAGGTAAATGGCCATTTTTTTTTGTACTCAGTAGACAGGAAGTAATACTAGTGAAATAGCTAGGAGTTTGGTCAGCTGGGACAATGGAATTTACTTACAGTAGGACTTGAAGTGGGCGAAATCGGTGGTGTGTAAATATCGTTGAAACCGCTAACTTTGTGAAAGTGTAATTCTGTAAGTTTTCCATCAATTTTCATGCTTTTGGTTTCATTACTTTCAGGAAAACGATTCTCTTATTTCATAAGACTTTTTTTTTTTTTTTTTTTTTTTATAATTTCCTTGACCATGAGAGCAATTCTTAGATCCAGGAATTCGACCCTGAAAGGGTTAAATCATGGCTCTACTGTACTAAATTTTTTTTAAATTGTTAGTTGGAAATTTATTGCTGAAAGACCCTTATTATTGTAGTATGAAAAGTACTGTACATGATTGTAGCTTTCAGATACATTCCCCTTGATAATTTTTTCTTATTTTTATTTTATTTTCAGATATTCTCTGTTTGCGGTAGTAAATCACGTAGGCAACTTAGATGCTGGTCACTATAGCAGCATATGTCCGTCAGCAACCTAGTGACCAGAGGGACAAATGTGATGAGCCACATGATAACTCAGCAAAACCATCCAGGATGTGCTTTCAAGAGTGAAGGGTCATGTACATTTATCTGTTTCCAGTGCAACTGATTTGTGTAGCTTCATGAAATGTAATTAGTGTATCAGCCACACTGAGCCTTTAAGTTTGGAAGGCTTCCTTTTCCTTACTTGTGGGTTTCATTTATATTCCAAGGTTTTAAATGATGACATCCCCATGAATAATATCAATTAGTGGATATTCCTTCTGGCTCAGTTGGTTTTGTTGTCAACCTTGTTATGTTTTCTGAACATGGAATTTTGTGGTGCAATAATTTGTTTTTCAAAACAAAATTTGAATCCTTTCTAACACCCCAAAGTGTCAAGAGTGACAATCCAATGGGTGCTGCTGGCCAATAATGCTTTTTAGCAGGCCATTTTCAGATGAGTATTTATTATATCATGATTTAATAAGATGATAAAAGTTATGTAAAACTGGGTGGGAGGAAGGAGTGATAGAGGCCATTCAAGGAAGATTTTGAAGGGAGGCGGGTAATGGGTGCAATGTTGAATGACCCCAAAGTGTGTTGGGCATTTGTTAATCAAGAGTCTAAATCGAAAATAATTTAATCAGCTGTCTACTTTTCAACATTTATGCCACAGCTTGATAGCTGGTTTGGTTCTTGAGACCAAAAGTTTAGAATCTCCTACGCCATGAAGAATGTGTGGTTTTTTGAACAATGGCAGTGAACCATCTTTGGAACAAATTAATGGTGGAAAGGTAGCTGGTAAGAATATCATTTCCATCCCCTTTCCCTTATCTCGCAATTTTTTTTTTTTCTTGGCCTAAGTGGCAGGGGCCTCTGGGATGTGCAACTCCCCCCACAGGGTATTGGTCTGAATGATAACTCACAAAAGCAATCAACATAAAATGGGGTGGGTATTTTCCCCTTTCGTCAAAATATGCCAATATTACAGCAGACAATCAACACTAAATTATGAATAGGGATTGAGGAATGTGAAAGACTGAAAAAGTATTAATTGTCTTATGATTATGATTTATGTAGTATGAGAGGAATTGGATCATGACAGTAGCAAGTTTCGTAATGATTTGCAAATGTAATAATGCTAGAAATGGAATATAATGTAAATACAGTAAAACTCCCACCCTCTAATACATTTCATCATAACTTGGCAGTGCCATCTGACCTCATAAGTGTAGACAAGTATGGTGAATGATAAGTTGCTAACTATCAAATGTTGTTTTTAATTGCGTGAGAAGTATTCATTCACACTGCACTGATCTCTTTTTCTCTCTTTCAGAACCTCCTTTTATTAGTCACAAACCAAATTCTAGAGTATTAATGAATAAGTTGTTGTCAAAACTAAAACCACGGATATGATAAACTTCAAACCTCTGAAATCTCAGCTGACTTCAGAAGTCCTTCCTTGCCATGCCTGCTAACCTTGGAGTGGAATGCAGGGAATGCATTTCAATATATCCTGGCACCATGAACAGATCCCGCCAGTCCTGCAAGTTGTGAATACAAAATCTAAGATTGTCATTATATTGAATGTCGCCCATAGAAAAAGAAATGCAGTAGGGCTGTACATTGAAAGGCATCATAGATCCTGAAGAGAAATTACTGCACAGAGGACAGAGCTGAATGTTGAGGAGATTTCAGAACGCACTTTGTATTTGCCTCTTCCCAGTTTGTACTTACTTGCAGAGAGAGAGACCAACGGCTCTAGCTTTTGAAGATAATCAGGTGACAGGAGTGTTTACATTTTTACTTTTTAACTGAGGAATTTTCACCGTGTTGTGAAGGATTTCTTTCTTGATTTAAACGTCTTCCATGACTTAACAGAAGTGTAGGGGAGTAAATTGATCTAGTCCTTGTAAAAAATATTCCTTAGGTTCTGGAATGTAAATGCAACAGTAATCAGGGTATTTCAATCTTTGTCAGGTGATATAAAACTTATTTTCAATCAATTGAAAGTAAGGGTTTAGAATGGTGTTGACAGTAGGTAAGATGATCTCTCTAGATTATCCACTGTTGCTTTAGTTATGTACCATCAGTACATATCTCATTGGCAGTATGTTGGTATTTGATCTATATATCATTTTTAGGAATAACAGTTTCAATAATGCGTTTAGCTTGGTTGGGTAACTTAGTGGGATAAGGACACTTAGCATCCCTTTGGGTTAAGGAACAGGAGCTATTGAAAAGGGGGGGGGGGGAAGTTATTCTTGGTTTGGTGAAAATGTGTTATTAGTTGACTGCTAAATTTACTATTCATGAAGACAATTCATAAATCCAAACTTTAATAATAAAAAAAAAAAAATCTGCTGACATGTTTGTATAAACATTGAATAACTTTTGGTTTTTGCCTCTGATGGTAAAAGTATTCATTGCAACATCAAAACAGTATTATGGGCAGTTTTTGTGTACAGTTTATTTGTCATGTCCATGTCAAAAGTATACATGTTCTTAATAATTGTGTGAAAGACTACTTTAAACTACAGGTATTAAATGCCAAAAGTAAAGAATTTGAGGCCAATTCACACTGCAGTATTTTTTTCCAATCGTATTACAACTTAAAATGTCATACAAAGAATATCTTTAATACTATAAGGATAATAACTAAAATATAGGCATTTTTAAATATGATCAGTATAGTTCCAATTTAGTTGCACATAAGGTTAATAGTAAATATGGCTTGCAAATATGACCCATAGAATGTTCTTGTCACAGCAAGGTGCTCTAGCAGTGGCCTCCATGGTTGCATGTAAAGCGTTCAACAGGCATTAACGATTGTCCCACCCCCTGTAGGCCATAAGTGAAGTACTGTTTGCAGTTGTAAGAATCATTCATGCGAAAATGTCGGAAATAATAATTTCATGTTACCAGTGATTTGGAGAGTCTGACACAGTTAAGTAATGTTGCAAATTTGCGGTGAATTAACAAATGCAGGAACATTAAAGCCGGATCAATTGTATTAGATATTTTTGCCGATGATGAAACCTGGCAATGTATCTAAGGGAACCTGCCCGGCATCTTGCGTGCAAATCCTCTAAATTGTAAGTAGGCTTGTTGTACTCTTTTTGTAACTGGCCTATGATTAGATAATTATTTTTTTCATAATTAGAAAACATTTTTTTGCACAGAAACAGATTTCAGACTGTTAGGAGCTTTGTCACAACAATTATGGTCTTACAGTGTGTCAATCAATAGCAGTAAGTCAATGGTAATTGTAGTTATGCCTGGATGTATGGGATGTTAGTTATTCACTTGAAAGTAGGTAATTCATCAAAAAATTATAACATCTCCTATTCTTAACCTCAGCATCAATACATTTTAAAGAATATTGACTAGAATGATGTGTTGTGAATGAAATTAAAACCACTGTAAATGGAAGAGATGCAATAAGGGATTTATTACATTAAAAAATATAAAGGTTAGTTGGAATCCCAATATTTGGCAAAGGACAAATCAGTAGGGCATGGGTTTAAATAATTTAGATTACTGACCCCTATTCATAATCTTTGTATAAAAGCCTCATTATCTTGTTTCTTATAAACAGCATGAGTTGAATACACTTTTGTAATTTTTCTAAAAAATTTTAAAATTTTTATGCAACAATCTGTTAAGGAACTAATAAAAAAATCAAATTCTTGGCTCGCATTTCACTGTGCAGTTATCAAGTAATAGTAATCATGAAGATAAAAATTCTGTAGATCAGGGAAACATGTCTTATTTTGTAAATTTTATATATTAAGGATTAAAAGTTGGCAACACCTTATTATGTAATCTCACACTGTAAATCAGTCTTTTCCCAGGAAATATATTTTGTCATTGTTCCTTGGCACATAATTCAATAACTGTTTTTAGCGAGTAGAAATCAGACAACTCAATACAGATAATGATAATGTACATTTCAAGAGCTTCAGATTAAGATAATTTCCCTGTGATCTTTAATATTGGTAATATTCTTAATGTTTCATAAGAACGTTTTGAAATGTTGTGATGTATGCATCAATTAATTTTTGTGCTAGTTCAGCAGTGATGAAAGCATGTCTGCAGTGAAGCCAATTTGGGATGTATTTGATACTGTAAATTGTTCAACTCTTTTAGTATTTAGTTAATGTCCTATTAGAGGATTTAAAACACCCAGACTGATTCAGAATCAATAACTAATTTTTAAAATGTATAAAACATGTAACTTAGAAGTCCTTGATATTTATAGTCCATTTTCCATTTAAATTTACTCTTTGGTTAAAGAATAGATTTTGGAATATCTTGCATAAATTGGAATTAATTTGTTTTTCCATTTAAACATGGATGTAATGCCAGAAAACTAAATGAACTAGTGTAAAAGTGCAGTATATATGTTTATACGACGAAGGAAATGAAGTAATTGTTATTAATAGTGCTTATAGTAATTAATAGTAAACTTAATATTTGAATCATTAGAATATTAAAGTATCAGCAGTATTTCATACATGTTTTAAGAATATTAGATTTTTGGCCTTCTGCTACAATGCATTTGTTCATGTGCATTTCTTCAGAAGTAATAATTGTTGCCAGCTTGCTAAAATAACCCGAAGAAAATGACCCTAAGCAAGGATTTTACATATCATTATTAATAAATAACGAAGATTCCATAATGGCACTGCAATGCCAGTAATTCTTTACCAGGAGATAGGGAGGGGGCCGAGTATGATAAAAATTTTTGCAAGTTTGAACTGAGGATGAATCTGATATATGCTTGTGTGCAATAATGGTAATGTAAAAAAGTATTTCTATTCTAGACACAGATTCTCCCTAAAGATTCATATTGCTCTTTTTTTTCCCCCCTCTTAAACTGAAATATGTGGATATTTCTGCATTTTCGACACCATTTTGCCAAGCATAACTGGATTTATTGCGAGTGATTTTGACCCACTTCAAATCCAGAGTAATGGGGAAACTTAGTGTGTGAATCTTTGTGAATCCGTGCTGATTCAGTTGAGTGAGAAGAACGAGTGCAGCCTTAACTTGTACCACCACCACGTGACCAGCCACTATCTGTGATA